TAAAGAAAATTACGATTTGCGGGGCAATTTGGAATTTCCCTCCCACAAATGCACATTTTCTGCGTATTCACATAAGGCATCTGGGACTAAAATTTGGTGTCCGTACGGACAAAAATAAAACAAACTTCCACAGCTTACACACATAAGGCATCTTTGTGCACTCGCACAAAACTAATATACCCTTTTACCCTTTGGGTACAGGGTATAAAAATTGCCGGTTTGCCACCTCTGACTGGCACGCTGACTACACTTAGAAAATAAATCTGTGTACATATGAACATCAGATAATTAAATTAAATACAAATAAAATTAAATATTAATTGTTAAAATAATAGGTGAATTTTATTTATTCTCCAATGAAAATGCTTATACTCGAATGTAAAAATTAAAAAACACGTCCCACTCTTGATATTGTCACGTTTTTTCCAACCAAAAGACAAATGGTATACATCCACAACAAGCTGCCCTAAACTTGCGGGCATAAAAAATCAACAGCATGAAATACCAAGGTGCGAAATATACCCAAAATCGGGGCCAAATCCAAATAAACATAATTTTGGGTATGAATAAGACCAAAAGTTGTTGCTATTGTTGTTCTGCCACTGCAAACACAGAAACTAATTGTTATTGTGGCTTCCACACGATATGTCCAACAATTGACTCAACTCAACAAAAGAGTGAGAAGAGCCTATGCTTGACAGTCATTGGTGAGGTGAGTGTGAGTACATACATATGTGTACGTTAGGCAAATGTTTGCTTTGCAAGATTAAAAATTATGCTCTGTTTGTATGCTGTCAGCATAAAAATACTAAAACCGAAAAACAAACAAAAAACCCAGAAGTATGGTCTGAAAGTTGTGGCTAATTTTTTGTTGCCTACAACGGCAAGAGAAGTAACAACACTATTGGGGAACAACAAAAGTCGTGCTAAACTTTTACGGGCTGGCATTATACGGGTTACCCGGCTTCAATATATAAATATACGTATATATGCATGTCAGGCCCCTACCAAGTGGCGCAGTCTTGACATCCTTGGAAATTTATACATATGCATTTTTACAGCTGCTCTGGGTTTTTACTTACAGCTATACTAATAATATAATACGAGAATTCATAATTTTGTGCGGCGCAATCAGCGTTTTTCTTCACTCAACATTGCTTTTGTGTTCTTCCTTTCTCCCATTCACTTCTTTGCCGGTTACTCAACTTGAAATTTATTTTGTTTACATGCCACTAAAAGTTTTCCACTTTGCTCTAAAATACTCAAGCCAACATCAACGACATCAACAACAGCTACAAGAATAACAACACTGGAGTTTTTATACTCTGTACATAAAATGTACAAGGGTATATTAGGTTTGCGGGAGCTGAAAATGTAACAGGCAGAAGGAGGCGTGGCAGACCCCACAAAGTATATATATTCTTGATCAGCATGACGAGACGAGTCGATCTAGCCCTGTCTGTCTGTCTGTCCGTCTGTCTGTCTGTCCGTATGAACACCTGCATCTCAGAGACTATAAGAGCTAGAGACACCAAATTTTGCACAAAGATGCCTTATGTGTGTAAGCTGTACAAGTTTGTTTTATTTTTTTGATTTTCCCCCACTTCCCCCCAATGGGGGTTTTCCCGATAACCGCCATTCCTATAACCGCCTATATCTCAGAGACTATAAGACCTACGGGAACCAAATTTTAGTCCCAGATGCCTTATGTGAATACGCAGAAAATGTGTATTTTGGAATTTCCCTCCCACTCCCTTCTCCCATGAAATTTTCTCTAACTCCCGTAATTCTTGGAATTTCGAACTAAAATTTTGGAAATACCCCCAGTTGGTTATAATGTGTCCGTGTGCCAAGTTTCACTATGATAGACCGATTTAACAAGAAGTTATAGCAATAAATATATTTGCTGCTGCAGCGCTGCTCAAGCGCTGCCCGCGGCTGTTGATGCTGGTGCTTTGGTTGACTGCACACATGTTTTCACAGACACGAATAGATGCGCATAGGCATACATACACTCACACAGACGCAATTGCTATGTAAATGTGCAATTATAAACCCTTTACGTGTGTTCGAATATCGAGAGAGGTAAAATCGATCAAATTTTTTTTTTATTTTCTTAATTTTTTTTATTTTCTATAATTATTGTAAACATATGTACAGAGTATTTCAAAGTCGGGACACCCGACTTTAGCTTTTTTATTTGTTTATTTAATTCAAAAAGTTATTCGTTGATTTTGACGAGCTTGGTTTGCCACACTCACATAATTTTGTTGATACGAAATTGGTTAACGATTCATTTGTATATACTATGTGTGCACTACCACTAGTAACGGTAGTGGCAATCCCAGTGGATAGGTCTATGGGAAGGCTTACAGAAATAATTTCTACTTCTGGATTTAATTGAGATCGCAATGGTCGCTTGCCATCGTACTCAAGCAAGCTTTTGCTTCTAAATCTTTCGCATTCAAAATCCGTGGGACTGTCCTTGGTGTAGTTTCTCTTCACAGGCTGATTATTGATGAAGTAAATGGCAAATAAAATACCCCCAACAGGTGGAGGCGTTAAGGGACATTATTGTCCGATTTAACAGAAAGTTATAGCCATAAATATAATTGCTGCCCGCAGCTGTTGTTGATGATGGTGCTTTGGTTGACTGCAAACATGCTCATACAGACACGAATGGATACGAATAGACACGCATAGACATGCATACACGCACAAAAATGCAATTGCTATGTAAATGTGCAATTATACACCATGGATAAAATCGATAGGCAGAGTATTCAAAGTCGGGACACCCGATTTAGCTTCTCTACTTGTTATACCATGTACCCTTAGGGAAAAACGGGTATATTAGGTTTGTGCAAAGTATGTAACATGCAGAAGGAAGCATTTAGTTAATTAATTAAATTAATTTAGTTAATTAATTTAATTTAATTAATTAATTAATTTAATTACTTTTTTGTGGGGTGGTACAGGGTATTTAAGAGTTGAGCCTGCTCGACTTTAGCATTCCTTTCTTGTTCTGATTAATAAATTAAATATTAAAAGTACATACATAAATAAATGTTAGCAAGGGCTGAATGTGTTCTGTTCATCAATATGCTGACAAACGTATCAAATATTAACAAGCTCCGCTAGGCTAGACATCTTCCAAAGAGTCAACCGTAAATATCAACCGTATTGAATGTCTAGTACTTGTTTTTGTTTTAAACTAACCATTTCACCGCATTTTACGGCAATTCGCGTTTTTATGGCAACATTAAAAGATTCCATAATAATTTTGCTAGCGTGCATAAATAAACAAAGTTACAACAAAAAACGCACACTTTGCACTTCGAAAACAATTTTTAAATTAATATATATGAAAAATTATGCAATTTTTACAGCCTCATTATTAACTTTTTCGTTGTTGCGGCTATGGCTTTTGTTTTTATCCAATTCGACGACGCAGCGTGCGCACACTTTTGTTTATTTGTTGTAATAAATGCCAATGTAGCCGCAATTCAAAAGCGTCACCTGCGTCATGACGTGAATAGCGGTAGCTTGCAGTGGTGCTGATGACAAAGCCGGGCCCTCCAGGCTCCCAGACTCAGAGTCAATCCAACCATCTACTTTGGCTCAGGCTGCTTAAAATACGCATAAATTTTCATTTTTATACAGATGTGTGTATGTTGGCCTGATTATCCCAAGAGTGCTATATAAAAATATGTTGTCTTTTTGGTTACTGTGGATGTTGTTTTTTCTTTACTTATAATGCATACAATGATCTGCATTTTGTTGTAAACATAAATTGTATTTTGCTGTCCACTTTTGTGCACATTAGCTGCACTAGAGCGGCTGCTGCCCTGGGAGTTTATTTTCATGTTGTATAGCTGTTTTTAGTGCTGTCACACCTGAGCAAATGCCAAATTTAAATATACTCGACGCTACACATAACGAGCGCTTTAATTTCGTTATGATTACAAGCATTCGGTACTTACAGAAGGAATGCAGAACGCGCACGCAATAATTTTGTAAAATAAATTTTACCCAAATACAAACTCATAGAAACGAACACGGCAACTGTATAGCATTGTGTAAACACAACGTATACGATGAACAAGCAAAAGGTGCACCAAATGGCCACGTCAAACGCACGACAGAAACGACGACCCACTTCGCTTTTAGTCCTCGTTGTCGAAAGCAGCAGGAGCAGCAGAGATAACGACGAAGCCAACATCCACGGCAAATTATTTCTCATCATTTTTCACATAAAAAGCGCAACATTTGCGCGTTGCTGCTCCTGCTGCTGCTGTCGTGCACACAACGACGTTGTCAACAGGCCGCATCGTGCCAAGAATTTAGATAGACCGGCAGACAGACAGACTGGCTGCCGAAGGGAAGAAGCGGAGCCCGCAGGAAGGCAAGAGGCAGAACTAACTGGCAGTCGTTTTAAGAGGTATCTAATTAAAGTGCGTAGAACGTTGAGGCCATTGCAGTTTTAGACTTTTTACAAGACTAAAAATTTGGTTCTTTCAGGGGGTTTTTTTTGGGTAAACAACAGAATTAAGCAGAAAATACGAACTGTCTAAAATGATTAAAACTGAAATGCTTATATTTTCAAGAACTAACGACAAAATCTAAACCTTGGTTTGAACTTTCTGTTTCGAATGTTTTTAGAAGCCCTCTGAAACCAAACATATACATACTTGCGTATATAAGCAAATAATGGCAAAACTGAACAATTTAAATAAATCAATTAATAAACATAAGACTACCTACAGATATATATTTCATATCAAAAGATCGATGTAAGACCAAAAAAACCAAATCCGCACCTTAGTAAATTAATACTGGAGTAGTATTCCATCATCACAAGAAATTTGTTGATTAAAATAAGTATGTTGTATTGAATTGGTTCATAATACATTAGAGAGGTTCTTTTGGACTTTTCTTAGTAGAAGATACATACATAGTTTCTTAATAAATTGATAATTCGGAATTATTGCTCAGCTTACCTGGCTTGAATCCATCGCCGTGTTCGTGCGTCTCAATGAACTGCAACGTTGTTATGATCAGACAGAGCACCAACTGCAGCGACTGTTTCATATCGAAGTCAAAGTCGGCGAGCGTTTTCTCAATTTCAATTTTATGCTGCAATTGCTGCGGTATTAGGCGACAGATACCTATAAACTCTAGGCCTCATATAAAGTTGCACACGCCCGCAGGTTAATAAAAAATGCTTATAAATTTTCTACACTTTGTGAAAACATTTTCAAATTTGCGCGCTCACACACATAATGATTTTTTGACTTTTCACATGGGTACGTGTGTGGGTTGATGACTTCGCGTATTTCACTTAATTAAAAACTTTTTCTGCTGCATAAATTCATTTTAAAATTTACAAACATTTGCCCCTTTTTTACGCATGCACGCAGTACGTTGTTTTTTCTTTACGGGTTATTTATGCAAAAATTCTTTACTTTGTGTTTTGTTTGCTTCCCTCAAAACGCATAACAGTTAAAATTAATTTTTAATAGATTGTACGCCAAGCGGTTTTTCTCTTTTGCTGTGTACCGACTTTCCGAGCGCCCTCTCCAGCATTTAGTTTGTGATGCGCGGTTGTTCTGCATGTGGATACAATTGTGGGCGTGGGCACACGTTTATGAATATTTAAATTAAAGTACGCACGTGTTGCTCATTTCTGCTGGTGTGTGCGATTCAAATGTTTGCTGGGTTTTTTCCCATTAAGTTTTTATTTTTAATCCTTTTGCCAGCCTCCTCATGATCACTTAATCATTCGATACCGCTACTACTAGGCTTCGCTCGTTGATAGTGGTGTTGCTGTATGTTCGTGTTAATCTGTGTTGCAATTGCACTGTAGCACCAGTAGTTTCCTCAGATTTGTTATTACCTTTTGGGCTTAACTGCAATTAGAGCAAACAGAGAGGGTTCAGAAGTTTAGTTAGATTTTAATTACATTTTATTTGGAGAAGACAGACTTAACAGGGTGAGTCGTTTTAATAATGTAATTAATCTATAAATAAACGCTCATTAATTTCGGTCAATGAGGCTACCCTAAAGAAAGTAGGCCCGCAGGCCATTATACAAGTATAATATAAACGCACAACCCCCAACGTTGCCTGCGGCTGCAGGCCGCAATAGCAGCGCATGCCAAAAACTTTATGCCAATCAATAATGATAGATTAGTATTTCGGGGCATCAAGCACAACAGTCGTAAATTATATTCAAGTGCCTGTATAGAGGAGTCTTCCTTCGTCACAGTTTCAGGCACGCACGTATGAGCTAGCCGAATACACTCACACATAGTAAATACATTTTCATGTAGATTTACGCAAATGAATAGCCAAAGTTTATGCCACTCACAGCGCATTAATTCAGCTCACCAATATACACATGCTCACCCACACAACTTACACCTATGGCAACTTGTCTCTGGTTCAGTATTCGCCCCTCTTATGTATACGCAATTGAAATGTCGATATGTTGATGCTAGCGCGCAGTTTTTACATAATATTCTCCTTAGCTTTAAGTGTGAAGATCTTAAGTCGAATGACAGCTTGGTTCCTGCACACAAGGAAGGGTTCAGGAGAGCTACGCTAACTAACGGTAATTGACAAAAGAGTCATGAAAACTTTGACTTGAAAGTTTTGCCACGTTTTTGTTAAACATGGAACCAAACAAGCTGACAAACTTGTATGACAGGCAGGTAGGCAACCAGCTAGCGGCAGTTTAGCAAAAACAAAAACTACTCTTGAAGTTGTAGGAAGACTAAAAGGTGAGCACGGGCCAGACTGGAAAGAACACTGTTGTTGGTTACATAGCCAACCAAAGTCTGTGGAATAAGTTTACATTGGGTAATTAAGAGAGCTGCGCAAGTGTTTATTGAGAGATTGTTGAGTGTGGGGGTATACTCTAATAGCTTGGCTAATGGAATTGTGATGAAAGTAAACACACAACCGAAACTCAACTGTAAGAGAAACACGAAAGGAATGCTAAAGTCGAGCAGGCTCAACTCTTAAATACCCTGTAAGGAAAAAAGGAAAAATAAATATATTAATTAAATGATTTAATTAAATTATAAAAAAAAAACACAAATTCTTTCTCGGACTTAGGACAATCTAGATACCAAGTTTGGTTATTCTAGCTTTTGTACTTGCTGAGATCCATGCGTTCATACAGACGGACGGACGGACGGACGGACAGACGGACAGGGCTATATCGACTCGGCTTGTCATCCTGATCAATAATATATATACTTTGTGCTCTTGGTACTTTGGTCTGCCACGCCTCCTTCTGTATGTTACATACATTCGCACAAAACTAGTATAGCCTTTCACCCTTTGGATACAGGCTATAAAAACAGGAATTGCCCGGAAGTGGGAGGGGGGGTTTATCGCAATAAAAAAATAAACATAAAAATGTACATTTCATGTACAGAGTATAAAAAAAAAAAATTTTTTAATTTTCCTTTTTTGTGGAGAGTACAGGCTATTTTACTGTCCGACTTGCTCGACTGTAGCGTTCTCTCTTTGTAGGGTAATACAGGGTATTTAAAAGTCGAGCAGACTTTAGCATTCCTTTCCTGTTTTTTTTTTCTTTGTAGGATGGTACACGGTATTTAAGAGTTGAGCCTGCTCAGCTTTAGCATAACTTTCTTGTTTTTACATTCATATGTTGATTCATAAAACTCAATTCATTAAATTAAATTTTAATAGAGCTTGAAAAAACCGCTAGAAAGTACGTCAGGTCGTGTACCTATTGCACGTCCGGCAATTTCTCCCCCTATCCCATTCACTATATTCGCTGGCAAATTTATAGTGATTTGAAATGTAGACGACCTACTCGACGAGGAGGCTAAAAAGGGATTCAAGCATCGAGCGCAACAGAGACTAAAGCAGCTAAAACTGTACGTTTGCTGGCCATGTTTTTGTTGGTAGACGCTCCAGGGATCATGAACTTAGTTTATTGTGCACATTTAAATGAAATTGCTGCGCTCAATTTATGCGCTAAGCGCCAAAAGGCATGCAGCAAGCAAGCAAGCGACGGCTCTGCGACAGTTGTCGACATGATAGAGGCGAACGGTTAAGGTGAGCTTCCGTGCCCTGCTCTGCAAAAACTATCCATTATTATAGGTAAAAGCGTACGATGTCATGGGGCTCGGCAGTCGTTCATTTCATTTCGTTTCGTTTGGTTCGGTTTTTATGTTATTGTTTAAAAGTGCAAACAGCAATAACTTTATGAATATCGTCGGTGTATTCTTGTGTACATATGTATGTAGCTTCCAGGCAGCGTAGCCGACTCTCTTACTTCTTCTCTTACTACTCGTTCATATACTCGTATATGCATTCCCCTAAGCAAGTTAGTATATTTTGAAATGTTTGCATATTGTATGCATAATTGACTGGTTTTTGTGCCCTGGCCTGGAATGATATTTCACAGCTCAATCCAAAATCTTTCATTTGTAGTTAAAACCCAAAGGACGGAGTGAAAGACCTCCACATATATAATATTTACCCTTGATTCTTTGTCGATATGTTATGCTTTCTGTATAATTTCTGCATATTTCGGTTTCTACTGCATGTGTCTTTTAAAGGAGAGCAACTTAATAAGAAGTAACTTACTAGAATATTTTTGTAATACACTATATATATAAAAGGGGCTTAGAACTGATCTTTGTCTGGGTTGAAGTTATGTACCATTCTTCGTGTTTTATAATCCAAACTTTATCACTCTGTGGGGGGATATTGAATTTATTTTACTATCTTTATAAGCACAGACATTTTTATACAAAACACTTTCTAAGTCATAGAGTTTTTATATAGTGAATTACATATGTGATTTGATATGGTCAGTGTCGATATCTGAGCTTCGGTCCAAAGATAGACGGATATAGCAGTCTAGATACTTCTTAATTATGTACCATTTTACATTTAATTCTGCTTTACAAGACTATTAAAAAAACTCAATAATGCTCGAGATATTCTTCAAAACAGAATTTAATACCCTGTAACCAGAGCTTGCAAATAACTGTTAACCGTTTCTCTAGGTCATAAAATAACTGTTATTTACGGACCTTTTTGGGAAATAGTCACAACTGAACCGTTCACTACGTTTTGAACTGAACGTTTCGTCCTGAGCGACAAAATAAAAGTCTTTTGCGTTTGTGTGCGTGCATGTAAGTGTATGCCCTATTTGTTCTTATCATTTGATTTTCTTTTTTCTGCGTCTTTGGACGCAATAATTATATTGTCGCGAAAAATGGACCGGGATCAAAATAAAAAAGTGATTTTTTTTTAATTTGATGCTGGAACTAATAAAAGACAATGCAACATATGCAGTTTAAAACAAGAGAGAACGCTACAGTCGAGCAAGCCCGACAGCGTAATACCCTTTCACCCAGGTAAACTTCCGTCACTTTTTGCAGCAGCAAAAAGAGGAAGAAAAAAAGCGAACTTGTTGCTGCAGTTTGGGGGGTTGTACTGGCCAGAATTTGTTTCGCTAATAACTTTTCTTAGAATTGACCGAATTATATAAAATAAGCAACAGTAGATAAATATGTATAAATTATGTGTACAAAATTTGGTTTAGGTAGCATTTGAAAAGTGGACGCCATCGACGAAATTCTGTAGCGGGGGAAGGGGATGAAAATTCCAAAAAATAAAATAAACTCGTCCTTTCTCGGACCTAGGAGAATCTAGTTTTTATATAGTGAATTACATATGTGATTTGATATGGTCAGTGTCGATATCTGAGCTTCGGTCCAAAGATAGACGGATATAGCAGTCTAGATACTTCTTAATTATGTACCATTTTACATTTAATTCTGCTTTACAAGACTATTAAAAAAACTCAATAATGCTCGAGATATTCTTCAAAACAGAATTTAATACCCTGTAACCAGAGCTTGCAAATAACTGTTAACCGTTTCTCTAGGTCATAAAATAACTGTTATTTACGGACCTTTTTGGGAAATAGTCACAACTGAACCGTTCACTACGTTTTGAACTGAACGTTTCGTCCTGAGCGACAAAATAAAAGTCTTTTGCGTTTGTGTGCGTGCATGTAAGTGTATGCCCTATTTGTTCTTATCATTTGATTTTCTTTTTTCTGCG